GGGGTTGATATGCAAATGAAGATCAGCTCGTCATTTAGTACCGGTTATAAAGCAAACCTTAATAATTACTAGAAAAGAAAAAAAATGAAGCAACGAAGGAAACAGATGTATAATAAGCACCGTTTTCCTCTTATGAAGTAACATCCGCTGTGAACACATCCTTAGCCTTACCTTGACGTCAGGAGGCAAAGCCACGGTCACGTGCAGGATGCCGTTGACTGCGAGGACGTTGACCCCGATGTTGGCCGGGGAGAAGAGGAATGTGAAGTTGTTGTGGCTGTTTTCTGCTGGTGTCGGTGCGTTGTTGAGCACAGACAGACCTACAACAGTCAAACGAGAGTGTATACTTTTAATTTTAAAAAAAATTGTATCAACGAATAGTTTGAACTCTTTTTGTATACATGAAATTTGTTTCTCTATTTGACTGCATAGTACAAGACTCCGCCTAACGCCATTTTGAAAAGTGATGTATGTAGGAGTCTGAGGCTGAGCCGTCGGTTTGAAACAATCGAGGAAAAACGTCAGGAAAAAAAAGGGGGGGGGGGAGCCAGAAAAACGATTTAAAAGTTAAATAATGCCTTCAAAAATCACCTGAGTAGTTAGCTATAGTATGTTGTGAGTTCATAAAAAGAGGTAATCCTTAAACTTAGTTATGTTTTCATGATCCTCCTCTTTCTTTGTAGTCTCGAGATGTATGCCCAATAAGATCAAGGGCATTGCGCTGCGTAAAGTCTCTTTTCTGTGTCTATTTTTCAAGAAGACTTCCGTATTTAGAAACCTTGTGAGAAACGCCTTTCAGATGACGGCGTTTTGTGCCCACAACTGTACAAGGGAAGCGATGGTACAATGTGTATTTATTTGACTCCCTCCGATCATCCACGTCCCCCCACACACGGAGTTGCATTGTTCATGCGCTACTAGTATATTAAAATGTGAGGCAGCGTGGTGGAATCAGGCTCTCGTCAAAATAATCAAAGTGAAGAAACTTGCATTTTTCCGCACGTTTGTGAATTTTTATCAAATTTTTGTTTTATGGCTCAACACCTTTCATGAACATTAAAGAACTCATTTCTGAGGGATTTTTTTTTTTTAAAAACGTTGATTTAAGGCACAACAAATGTAAATTTTTAGTTACCACGGGCTCTTAAGCTAAGTAAATAACTATTCTTTGGCGGCTATTTTCTCACTAATTTTACCACTGAAAACAGGTGACCCCCCCACCTCATTCTTTCGCCAATATCTCGACTTGTATTCAAGATAGATGGATATTTTTTTCATCCAAATAAAGACAAGCGAACACACTTTAAGATGATGCCAATAACTCTACATGCCCAAAAATTGACGAGAGCCTGATTCCACCACGCTGCCTCACAAATGTTTTCTGTGTGTGAGAAAGATGCTGTTTTCAAATGGTATAGCAAGTTGAAGCTACAGATCGTAGCAAAGACACAATCAACTAAAACATGTATTTTGTTTGTTTGTTTGTTTGTTTGTTTGTTTGAGTTAATAGAATCACATCAACACGGTAGTGGTCATTTGGTGCTGGAGAAAAAGTAAGACAAACAGAAAGAATCAATAGTAGAAAAGTAAAAAAAATAAGACTTCCCAGTAGTGCTCTCCAACCATCCGCTAAAACACAACGGAAAACATATATATTAAAGGTGCTTTATACGCTGACACTAAGGTTCTGTCTCTATGGGGTCCTGACTGCAGGGAACGCTAGCCTTGAAAATAAATGGCATCGTAACCTACGTCAGAAAATTAAAAAATACGAAAATAAAATATAACAAAGCAAAACAAACAATAGCAACAACTACTGCGACAACAACAGCAACACCAACAACAACACCAACAACACAACCACCACCACCACCATCACCACCACCACCACCACCACCAACAAGAACAAGACTAAAGTCAAAAAACCCTAAAAGTATGACCAAAGTGACGTCACTGACCACCAGCAAAGTCCTGCCACATTGTGGACGTGGTGGTGAACAGCTGGGTCTCGTCATCGATGACCACCTCCAGACCCCTGGACTGACCAGTCCCGTCATGAGCTCCCTCCGGCACGGGCCACACCGCGATGACCGGCGTGTTGTGGGCAGAGATGACCAGCTGGGTCAGCGCAGACGAACCTGCTCCTCAGACAAACAAAAGCAATCGAGTACCATATAAACAATACATGTACTTGTGCAGGCTTAGTCTCTGCCTGTCAGGGCGATCCAGGGCTGAGACGAACACAATGTCCCAACAGAAAGACCGAGACACTCGATAAAAATTCAAACACGCACCTTCTGTTTGGGACGGCGAAGCAGTTAATCAAGTGCCCAATTAGGTCAAGGGCATTGCGCTATGTAAAGGCCCTTTTCTGCGTCTATTTTTTCCTAGAAGACTTTCCTATTTATAACCCTTGCGAGAAACGACGTCTGTTAGGTGGCGTATTGTTTCCTATACTGTACAAGGTAGCAAATGTTACAATGTCGAGTTTATTTGACTCCACAAACAGCGGTCGTTTAGTAGTGTAACAAAGAGAATTGGTTTATATAATATGATAATTATTGCAGTAAGAAGACTTTACACAAAACAACATAAACAGGGGGACTTGGCCTTGTGATTTGAAGGGTATAGGTTTTACTATACATATGTCTGTCTGTGAGTGTGTGTGTGCTAGTGTGTATGTGCGTGTGTGTATATATGTGTGTGTGTGTGTGTGTGTGTGTGTG